TTTGCCCTTCTTATTCTTTGTTACAGCTCTTTTCAGGTGCCATTAAAAAGGATTTGCTTCTTTCTTGCATCCATACTCAAATATTTGTCCTTCTCCACCTAGGAAGCGAAACCTCTTCCGAGGTTTTAGCACAGAAGGGGTCAAGTTTTCTTGGCTGGGTCTCCATGCTCAGAGGCGGAAGGAGTGAAGAACTCGCATTCCCAATGTCCTCCTGCCCCCATCGCCTGCAGGGCTTCCTGCACCTGTCACAAATCAACATAAAGCCAGAGACTGACATTGCAAGAAGGGCTCTTTCCTGGCATTTTGCACCTCTCCCTCTGGGAGTCAGGCACATTGGTGAGAACCACACCCAGAGCCTGAGCAGCCGAGAGCGAGATCCATTACCTAGACCCCTACCTGAAGCTTCTTTCACCCTGTGCACCAGTGAACCCTAACCCCAACCCTAACCCTAACCTTAACCCAAACCCCAACCCCAGCCCTAACCTTAACCCTAACCCCAACCCTAACCCTAACCCTAACTCTAACCCTAACCTTAACCCTAACCCCAACCCCAACCCTAACCCTAACCTTAACCCTAACCTTAACCCCAACCCCAACCCCAGCCATAACCCTAACCCTAACCTTAACCCCAACCCCAACCCCAACCCTAACCCTAACCTTAGCCCTAACCCTAAGCTAATAACACTGAACCTCCATAGGATTGAGCTTGGGAATCAAAAATTGATGAGCCTATGCTCAGCCTTTCCCGTTACACACACACACACACAGACTCAGAAACACTGATAATTGAGTGTGTCTCTCTTTACACAAAGCATCAGGATCCTTCTCAACACAGTTCCTTGGGCAGCCACGGCCATCAGTCCAATTTGGTATATGAGATCCAGGTCTCAGTTAGCCTGTGGTCAGGAATATATCATGGTTATCCACACCCGGAAATGGATTGAGCTCCCAGTGTATGCAGAGGGTTACAGTTTAGGTGAAAATTCAGGGAAAGGCACAAAAGAAGAGACACAGGCAATGCCAGTAGCCTGGGTCAAAGGCCAAAAGCGTGATGCACTCGGCCTTGGAGTTTGGATGTCAGTGGAGACCCGTGGGGACTCCCAGAAGGCCCCTGGAGGAAATCAGACTGAAGCGAACCATTGGCGGGAAAAGGAAATTTCAGTAAGTGGAAGAAAGTGGAGAGAAAGACCCAGATTCAGAGAGAGGATGATCCAAGGCTCTGGGACTCACAGGAACGGTGGGAGGTCTGCAGGGAACAGAGGGCAAAGCAAGGGTCCCACCCAAGGGCATCTCTCAGTCTGGCTTGCACAGAGACCTGGCTTTTCTCTACGGTCAGCTGAGCCCCGAGCTGGACTGGGACAGGCCTTTGTCCCTTCATCCTGGTAGTGCTCCCAGCAGCTAGGAAAGGGCCTGCTCCAAAAAGATGAATGAGGGGCCGGTGCTATGGCTCAGTGGGTTAACGCCCTGGCCTGAAGCACGGGCATCCCATATGGGCGCCGGTTCGAGACCCAGCTACTCCACTTCCGATCCAGCTCTCCGTTACGGCCTGGGAAAGCAGTGGAAGATGGCCCAAGTCCTTGGGCCCCAGCACCAGTGTGGGAGACCTGGAAGAGGCTCCTAGCTCCTGGCTTCAGATTGGCACAGCTCCGGCCATTGCAGCCAATTGGGGAGTGAACCATTGGATGGAAGACCTTTCTCTCTCTCTCTCTCTCTCTCTCTCTCTCTCTCTCTCTGCCTCTCCTCTCTCTGTGTAACTCTGACTTTCAAATAAATAAATAAATCTTAAAAAAAAAAAAGATGAATGAATGAATGAGTGAATGAATGAGCCAAGGGTTCCTGCAGGAAAACTGTAGGATGGAGAAGTGTGTGGACTCCGTTGCTATTGCCTTTCAATCTCAAAAGAAGGGCTTTAGCCCACTGGAGAGTGTTCCCAAAGCAGTTCCCACCCAATAGACGCATGAGGGCAAAAGCAGCGGTGCAGGGCCGGTGCTGTGGCATAGCGGGTAAAGCCCTGCCTGCAGTGCCGGCATCCCATATGGGCGCAAGTTCAAGTCCCGGCTGCTCCACTTCTGATCCAGCTCTCTTCTGTGGCCTGGGAAAGCAGTAGAAGATGGCCCAAGTCCTTGGGCCCCTGTGCCCACGTGGGAGACCCAGAAGAAGCTCCTGGCTCCTGGCTTCAGATCAGCGCAGCTCCAGCTGTTGTGGCCATCTGGGAGTGAACCATCAGAATGAAGACCTCTCTCTCTTTTTTTTTTTCTCTCTCTCTTTCTATGTAGTTCTGCCTTTCAAATAAATAAATAAATCTTAAAAAAAAAAGCAGCAGTGCTGTGTTCAAGTGCGCTCTTGGAATGAACGCTGCATGCAGCAACATTCGGCAAGCTCCGTTTGTCTAGCTCCGTCTTACGCCATCGCTGTATGTGATGACTCCCCATTGTCCCCAGGTATTCATCCACAGCACTCCCTCACCTCCCTCCCCAGAGCTGGTGCTTCCCTAGACGCACCTGGGGAAGGGGAGCTGCCGAAAACCAGAGGCTTTAAAGGTGCCGGAGCAGGAGGCTCCTGCGCACTTAGTAATATTTTAGGAGGAGCAACCTGGTAGGATGGATCAGCAGAAGGGACAGGATTAGAGCCCAGGCTGGGGACGAGGGCAGCGGCACTCTGTCAGTCACTATTTCACATCTCTCATAAGCCAGCCCACCCTGCGTGGACAGGACAACCTCACGCTCTGGTTTGCCCAAGTCAGCCCCAACTGTTGTCTGTTGTCCCCCCATCACTATTAAATAGGGCCATATTAATTCTCAAACTTCTCTTGGTTTGGATCATGAATGGCCACCCAATTCATGGAGCTTAGCTTCTTTGGAAGAGACTGCGGGCCCATCACATGCATGAAAAGCCCTCGTGTAGATGAGTCACACATCCCCTTCTGGATGGACACAGCCCACCCGTGCACTTGCACAAGCAGAAATCCTCTTTTTTTTTTTTTTTTTTTTTTGACAGGCAGAGTTAGACTGTGAGAGAGAGAGACAGAGAGAAAGGTCTCCCTTCCATTGGTTCACCCCTCAAATGGCCACTATGGCCGTCACGCTGCACCGATCCAAAGCCAGGAGCCAGGTGCTTCCTCCTGGTCTCCCATGCAGGTGCAGGGCCCAAGCACTTGGGCCATCCTCCACTGCCTTCCCAGGCCACAGCGGAGAGCTGAACTGGAAGAGAAGCAACCGGGACAGAACTGGCACCCCAACAGGGATTAGAACCCCATGTGCCAGCGCCGCAGGTGGAGGATTAGCCTAGTGAGCCATGGCGTCGGCCCAGAAATCCTCTTATGCAAGCTGTGGGAAGAGGCTGCTGCCCCCAGGACACTCTGCTTGGAAGGCAGAGTCCAGGCTGGATTGCTGCCTCCACTCCTTCACTGTGTGCAGAGGTTTGCAATCCAGCTGTGGATTCCAGAATCAAACAAAAACACAAGACAATGTCCAGCTCAGCCCACACTATCCCTGCCTGATGTCTTGAAGACGATCAATAAGTCAATCAACAAACACCTAACTGCAATGTCAAGTGATGGAAATCACCGTGGAGAAAACTGAAGTGAAGCAAAGGCACTGGGAGCAATGGGCACAGCTGCCTTGAACAATTCGAAAAGGCACCTGCGAGCTGTCTAGGCATGGCATTCCCCGGGCTGAGCGATACGGGCACCCCGGCAGGAGGCGCTGTTTTAGAGAGAGTGGGCAAGAAAGGCCACCCCAGGGATGGGGAAGATGAGTTGACACTGACCACAAGAAACAAGGGATGGATGTGAGAGGAAGGTCACAGTGGGAGTCAGGTGGCCATCAGGACATGGTGGCTGGTCGCACAGCAGGTCTGTGGGGAATGAGTTCAAAGATGACACCAAGCCACAGGCCCAAGAAGCCAGGGAACCAACGATGCTGCTCAGCTCTGTCCAGCCTGGCACTGAGCCCGGCACGAGCAGCAGCTCAGACAACCCACAGGTGACCGAGGCCCAGGGGATCGACCATCTCGACCAGGAGTGCCCACCTGTGTCTCCGGAGCCCCAGCTGAGAGGTATGGTAGTGGGCACTGCTAGAAAAAGCTGCCCAGGGGCCGGTGCTGAAGCGTAGCAGGCTGAGCCTCTGCCTGCCACACCAGCATCCCATATGGGCGCTGGTTCAAGACCCGGCTGCTCCACTTCCGATCCAGCTCTCTGCTATGGCCTGGGAAAGCAGTAGAAGATGGCCCAAGTGTCCCTGCACCTACATGGGAGACCTGGAAGAAGCTCTTGTCTCCTGGCTTCAGATCAGCTCAGCTTCAGCCATTGCAGCCATTCGGGGAGTGAACCAGTGGATGGAAGACCTCTCTCTCTCTCTCTCTCTCTCTCTCTCCCTCTGTCTGTGACTCTACCTCTCAAATAAATAAATTCTTTAAAAAAAAAAAAAAAAGACCGAGCTAAGCAAAATCAAGCAGGCTTTGACTGTTTGAGTCAAGAGTCCTCCGCCCCAGGACTCTTCACAGGTTCCTGTGCACTGGGAACCCCTGGAACGAGCTGCCCAGGAGACTTCTCCCCCTCCCAGCCCTCAGCATCCCAGGAGGCCAGCACATCCCCAGGAGGCAGCTGTGCGCCAGACACATGCCAAACTTTTGCCAGAAGAGAAAGCCAAGGCAGGTAAGTGCCATGTCAGACAGAGCTGGCAGAGATTGGGGTGGGGGGCAAGATGGGGCCTTCTGCACGCCCCCACGGAGGGCAGGGCGTCCCACAGCCCCTGAAGCCCACTGCCGCCATGGCACAGACCTGCCTGTGGCTGTGCCTGCAGACCTGGCTTCACCCAAGCTCCAGTGGTAACCTCTGAGTCAGCCCCCCTCAGGGCCAAGTTTAGCCTCTGCCCGACTGGTTGTCTGACTTCCCTGGGCCTCCACTTACCCTTCTATAAAATGGGGATAAAAATATTGCCCTCCCTCTCTGGGTGGCACGAGGCTCTGTAATTACTGCTTGGCAGGGTGCTAAGTGCTGACAAGCTCTGTCTGACACATTTCTCCTCCGGACGCCGAGCCAAGCCTCACCGGAGACCACAGGCCCTCAGCAACACACTCAGGCCCCAGCAGCGCACAGCCGGGAGCAGGTGTCTCCGTCTGGCTCTCTCTTCCGTCACTCCCGTCAAAGCCTTGGTCTCGCCTACCCTCTGCCGACACCTGGCATTGTGGAGGTGGAAGAGCCAGCCGCCAGCTCCGATTCCAGGACCCTGTTGCACCTGGAAGGCTGCTCGAGGCCGGGACACCCAGAGCGGGCGTCGCCTGCCTGGAGGCAGCCATGCGGTGTCCTGCTCGCTGAGCCGGGGCCCTCAGCGGGCAAGGCGATGACAACGGCGGAGGACCCGGGTCCGGCCCAGCCCGGTGGGACGAATGAGCTGAGGTGGGTGCTGCGCGTCCCTAAGCCCTGGGAGAAGTAGGGGCACTGGGGAGTGGGACACTCTGGGATCCAGCGTCAGCCATCCTTGTCCGCATCCTTCCGCCAGGGAGGAAAAGAGGTGAGACCTCTAGAAAACCCCAATTAAACCTGGAGGTGCTGAGATTTCCAAAAAATTCGTGAAAATGGGATTAAAGGGGAAGTTGAATTTGGTGCAAAACAGTTTGAAATCCGTGCATGGCTTTTTTGTAAGGGGCATTTTCCACAAACTTCTAGAAGCCACCCAGACGCTGAGTCTGCAAAGCAGCCAGGCCATTGCCATTCCAAAGGCCAAGGGCAACCAACCCTCCTCAGGCAGCGAGAGGTGCTTTGGTAGCTGCTTTCCCTCTCCAGCCTGCCTGGGAGATTTGTCTCTTTCCAATTTCACCGACATAGGAAAGGTCGGGGAGTCCGCAAAGCTGCTGTACACGGCACCCTTGAGCTTGGGCAGGGGTCCCTCGGAGACAGCTCTGCAGGTGGCTCAAGGAATGCTTGGCCCTGCGTGGACAGGTGTGAAAAGGAGTAGGTACTGGGGCTCCCTGTGTGGCTCTGACCGGCCAGGGGGTCATCTGGATGGGTCCCGCTGGTTGGCTGGGAGCATGTTGGGTATTTTCCTGTGGCCCAGTTGTTAGCAAGGAAATGTACCCTTGTTCATCTGCACAGCCCTAACGCAGGCCCCTCCATAGTGGCCTTTTTGTTTTTTTTTCCCTGGCTGAGTTTGTGCTGTCGTAATAGGATAGAACTTGGTCCCGCAGGATGTCTGTGGTCCAGGTCTGTGGTCCAGGCGATGGGAGTGTCGGTTTACGATCAGGATCTCTGTCTTCCGAAATCTGGGTTGGGGATTGGGGGGAGGGGACCAGGGAGGCACTAGATGAGGGAATGACGTCAGGGGCTTGTCCAGCCCTGGCCTTTTGGAAAAGCAGTTGCTGTCTTTAGCCATAGTGTGTTAGTAGCAAGTGACTTAACGCCAGACGAGCCGTGCAAAGAATCCCTGGCATGTCGTTAACCTCGTTCCAACGTGTAATTAGCCTCAAAGGCCTGCTCGCTGCCTCCATTCAGCGTTACATCATAAAGAATCAGATATTTTACTATTTGCAGGGCACCGTGAAGACTTTAAAGAGTTAATTATGGCTCGTTGGAGCTGTCCCCAAAAGCCCAAGACCCAGGAATTAAACTGTTTATGTTCAAGTGTCAATCTCCAAGCTGGCCTCCAAGGGCCACTTCCTCCACAAAGGCTGAGCTCGATGCTGGCTTGAAAGTGCAGCCAGCAGGGCAGGCATGGGCCCTCCTCCGGGCTCGAGCTGTGCATTTCCAGAGAGCTAGCGATCTGCACAGCCTTGGAGAGAAAAGAGAAGGCAGGAGAGCTGGAAGTCGACATAGCCGGTTGGTTCCATAAGGCGAATCCATGGAGAGCCATTTCTAAACCTCTGAGCTGGAGAGGCCAGCAGTGTGGCCAGAGTTCAAAGGGAGTTCAGCCCTAATCTTGATGTTACAATCTGAGCCAATCTAACCATGCAGCCTCTGAGGACATTATTATCAGTCAAGTGTAATTATAGATAAAATAGTTTTATTAATCGGCTTCCTAAGGGGACTGTGGTTATCTGATGGCTGTGTGTATAATGTGTGCGTGGCGGGTGGGGGGGACGGGGAGGAGCATGTGTGTGGAGTGTAGTGTGCTTGGCCTATGTGACAGGGACATGGGGAATCTGGGGCACAGCGTGGTTCAGGCAGCAGCAGGGAGTGTGGCTGGGAGTTCTCTTTAGGTGCGTGGTGGGGTCTGCAGGAGGGTGTGTGGCTCCGAAGGCGAGTCTGTGTGTCTGCCTAGGTTTTCACATAGCTGGACTTGAACTTGTGCCTGCTTCTTCACTCTCCCATGGGTTTGTTGTCACCCATCGCCTCCTTCCCAAGAAAGACCTTTCCACATTTGTACTCTGCTGGAGTCTACACAGCTCCCAACCACAGGCAAATGCCACCTGCTGGTGCCCTCTGTGGTCACTAACTGTCAGCCAAACTTTCAAATCTTATCTCCAGGCCTATCTTGGCTCGTCTTGAGTGTCCATGAGCTGAAACCAGTCTGTCAGCTGCGAAGGATCCAGGAAGGGTAGGGCTCCTCCTAGATGTTGTGTGGCCTGACCTGGCATCAACTCCAGTCACCTCTGTGTAGGACAAACCAGTGTCATGGGGCTCAGACACCCAGCGTGCCCTCTGTAACGTCTGCTGCTCTGACTTCCCCAGGAGAAAGCAGCAGTGGAGAGTTGAGTGTCGGGTAACACCCCAAAGCTAGGTTCCCCCGAAAGTGAGGCTGAGAGCCAAGCAGCTGCCCAGAGACCATGGAGCAGGTCCAGAGCCAACCTGAGCCCCTCTGCCAGTCGACTTGAGACACCAGGTGGCCAGCCTGGCTCCTCCACATACAGCTTGTGCCAGGTGGCTGATGGTGTGACCCACCACTCACTGGGGCTGGAACACTTGACTCAAATGACTCCCCCCCTCCACACACATCAGAGGGCCTTGTGCAAAACCTGCCCTCTGACTTTAACTTGGTCAAAGTGACAGCTGCAACCTGGGGTGGACACAGCCTGAAAGCCAGAAGACCCAAGTGGTGGCTCCCTTCCCGTGGTGGCTGTTGATACTCTGTCTCCCGTGGGCACTGCGGAACTGCGCACTCACCAAAGCCCAGGGACTTGAGTAGGGGGATGGGAGTGGTGCCAGCGGGATCTTGGGGGCCGCATGGCAGAGCTGCTGGCTACTTCATGGGATGGCCAGGAGGCACATGGGAGCCCAGGGGGGAAAGTTTGGGCGAGGGAATGTGCATTTGCTGAAACTACTGTTCCAGTTGAGATAATTAAGGATCATTAGCCAAACAGAGTGGACTTCTCCTATTCCCAGGGGTCATAAACTTCTGATGGATGCCAGATAAGAAACTGAAAAGGAACGAATTGGATGGAAGAATATCAACTCTGTGCCAGTGCATACACCTGTACTGTTTCAATTGGTCTAGTGGGTAGCTAGTATTGTGCTTATTTTGCTAACTGGGAACCTGAGACTTGGATAGGTTTAGTACTAATTTATTATCCATAGCAGTATAGTACAATAATAATCATCTATTGAGTATTGAACCTGTACCGGGTACTGGGCTTAGTACCACCTACATTACATTATTTTGCTTAATCATCACCAAAATGCTACAAAACAATCATTTACTTTCAGAAGCTGAGGCCCAAGAAGATAAATGGGGGTGGGCGCTTGGTAGAGCAGTCAAGATGCTGCCCGGGACACCACATCCTGTTACTGGAGGGCCTGGGTTCAAGTCCTGACTCCACTTCCATTTCCTGTTTCCTGCTGATGGGCACCACAATGGCTAATGTGGTTGGGTGCCTGCCACATACATGCGAGACCCAAGCTGAGTTCCCAGTTCGTGGCTTCAGCTTGGCCCAGCCTCACCTATCTCAGGCATGTGAAGAGTAACCCAAATGAGAGAGATTTGGCATGTGCACTCTATCTCTTTCAGTCTCTCTCTGTCTCTGCTTTTCACATAAATACTTTTGTTTTTATTTTAAATAAAGTCAATGAGCAACTTGGCCCGAGTGACAGAACTGAGATCAGAACCACCGATTACCTGACTCAAAGCCCAGGGCTTTTTCTGCTACTGCTTTTTCCTTGACTGACTCCCCATCTAGCTTTTGCTCTTAGCAGGGCCGTGGTTATCTGTTTAATCATTTCATCTGTTGAAAAGGCTCAGGCAAGTCCCACATCTCACTGGCTCCTTGGAACCAAAGGGATAATGTCCATTCAAAATGAGACTAAACCTGTCCATCCACATGCACACATTGAGAATGAGTTGAAACATGATTTCATTAAAAGGGATGTGGGAAAGAGTTATGTCCAGGACACCCAAAACACCCCTGTCTTCACTTGAACTTGAATTGCTCAGTAATTGAGCCAAAAGCACCTGCCCTGGTCACTCTCCTTGGGGACAGCCATGTGTCCCCTAGGAGGATGCTCCCTAAATTTATAAACTCAAGATACTAATGAGTTGTGTTGGTGTGACCCTCTTGATGAGGCTGAACACCATCCCAATTTTGAGGGCTCTCCCCTGAGGTTTCTCAGTACCAGGAATCACTGGATCCCTCTTGGGATGTGATGAACGCCTCAACAAAGCAGTAACCCACCAAACTTTGTGACAGTTTTGTAATAAAAGCAATGCCTAAATTCTTACACCACGCTGTGTTTTCAAAAGACAGTGTTTCTCTACATGAGTTCCTGCACAGAAACAAACTCGGGAAGTTTCGAACTTTGTGACAGCACATGAAAGAGCTAGCCAAAGATGGAGGAGGCATAGTGCAGGGAAAAAAAAAAAGAAAAAAAGAGGAATTTTGTGGGAGAAGAGAAGCCACAGCCTCCATCACACACAACAGTATGACCCGTGGGAAAGCACACGGGACAGTGAGGCTAGAGGAAGGACACACCTGAAGGCCGTGCCCAAGTCTCAGGCTGTGCCTGGTGTGAGTTTGTCCCTGAAGGGCACACAAAACCCAAGGCCTCTTCAATACTGAGGCCACCACCAACCAGCCTCAGTAGGGGGCTGACACTCCAGACACAGAGATTCAGAACTTCCCCAGGGCTGCCACGCGGTGACACATGTAACACGGAGCCCACCTCCCAGGGGGAGGAAGTAGTCATCTCAGGGCTACCCGAACTCATTTCCTCTACCCTTGTACCTCCCCTCTGGTCACCCACAGGCCATGGAGCACAGTGACCCTGGCTTTGAGTCCAGAGATCCGAGGAATGGGTCGTGGTTCTGTACTTAGGAGGGTGGCCTTGGGCAAACTACTGAAGCTCTTTGAGCCTCAGTTTCCTCTTCTGTAAAATGGGGATAATAACAGCCCCTGCTCCTACGGTCGTTGGGATTGGATCATAATAAGCATCCGTTTTTAGAGGTCATTGCAATCCTTCATGGCCCAGCTCAA